ATAGTTACGTCATCGTTCTAACCGATTGATTCCCGAACAATAAAATTGTATCTATGACAAAAGATGGAATGGAAAAATAGTTTTAATACTGCGTTGACGTATAGTTTCTAAGACACGAATTGTTATATACAGGGTGTCCGGAAAGGTCATGTCGTGAATGATGAGAGTGAGTCAAAATAATGTTAGTACTTCGTGTGAAAAAAATGTCTATTGTTCTTCATTACGGGGTTATTGACCTTGAAAGTTTGAATTGAAAAAAAATTCATGTACGTATAATTTTTAAATGGTCGTCATATTATGGTATCAATGATATTCGGGCAATTAAATTAACTCATACTAATAATGCTAGTTTCGATGTGGGTGTTCAGTGATTATGTTTGATACAGGATAGGACGATTTTTTTTCCGAAAATGAAGGCATTTTTGACAGAGGTGACAAATTTGACATTCTGCTTTCACCGTGTGATTCCAATCAGTGTTCTTTATTCAAATCGATATCTTATACCGTTCTAGAGAAAATTTCATTGCAAAAACATAGATCTCAACCATTTCAGAGGTAACAAAAACTCATTACTAAAACATTTATCACCCTGTATATCAAATTTTTCTCTTATACGGTTCATAGTTTTGATAACTAGACAACGAGCTGTCATAATAATCACCGAATATTTTCCGCTGAACAGTATCACTTGTGGTATTACATGACGAACGTTTATATGGAACAATTGTTTTACAGGGGGTTAGACAAAATTCAACATACGTACAATAAAAAAATACAGGGTCAATTTCAGTATATGGTGAACCAAACAAACTGTTCAAGTAGGTATTATAACTTCACGATGTAAATAAAATGATACAGGATATTATGTTAAACCAATTGAATCATCCGTACGCGACGGAATCTAATATACGACTATTGAATGGCTGACTTGATTCATTATGCTGATGACTGATTAGTTACGTCACCTTCCTAAACGATAAATTTCCGAAAGATAAAATTTCATGTATGACTAAATTTGATATGGAAAAATAGTTTTACAGGGGGTAAAAAGAAATCAAATATATTCACAATAAAAAAACAGATACATTTTAGTAGGTATATAGAGGGTGAGTCAATAGTGTGTTCTCTCATTCGATATTAGCCAAACCGTCTGATATATCGACAAAAAACAAATACAACAGTTATAGGGTTTCATGAATACTCTATATCACCTAAAATTATTTTCATATCTATAGAGTGTACGAATTCCAAGATATCGGCTGATATACGTTTTTTAAATGGGACACCCTGTTTCCAATTGCATTTTCGAATGCACTGTCAAAATTGTTTTCTATTTACGGTTTGCCAAGTTATAGTTAACTATTTCCGTGAAAAAGTGACTATGTAGAGGCCTACCAAATATATATATTTATATAAATTATTACGATTCTGATCTGGACATTCCATTCGTCCCTACAAAATCTTGACGAGATTGAAGATGCCGCGAAACTTGATTATTCCAAATGGAACACTCTGTATTTATTACGTTAATGGTTCCAGATCAAAATTACCCTCAATTTAAATGAAGTATGTTCTATACCTTAATATTGCCGTTTTCGATATAAACCGATTTATACGAAAAAATCTATATTATCCGAAAACTGACAAAGATAACCTCAAGAAAGTATATATGTTTGAAATATAAAGGAAGAGCTCTTCCCAATAAAAAATGGAATACAGGGTGTCCCAAATGAAAAATAAAATAGCGAGCTAATCACATTCCACGTGCAAAGATGTTCCATCCTGCAAGTTGCTATATACATGGCAATTAGCACCGAAGTATACTTTCTTTCAAACATTTTGAATTTCGATACGATTCTATTGAATTTTATGTGTTGAAGAATGGTATACCAAATTTTGAATAGTTTTGTATAGGTACCTATAAATAAGTCTGTACGAAATGTCGAATGTTTTCGCAACTCATTTCAATATAGGTACCTATTTTTAGTACCTCTGTATAAGTTAACAAAGCAAATTATTCCATCCTAAATGAATCCTAAATTTTAAAATATTTGGGTTAACTCGTAACGAAATGGCGAACATTTTCGCAGCTTGTTGCATTAATCTATCTAGATCCTCTGTATAAATAGGTGAACAAAGCGAATTTCAAAATGTTTTCATCTTACTATGGAAATATATGGAAGAAAAATACCAACCGTAAACAATATTATACAAAAACACTTACCATCTTGAAAAAATACAACTTTCACACACTCAAATGAAAATATAATCACTAAGCCGAATATGTATTCTAATTTTCCACTCCTAAATACTTCGAGTTCTTTTTTTATTATCACTTTGAATCGACCGTATTCGATGAAGTCTAGAACGAGACTGCTGATTGGTTTGATTCATGGTTAAAATGACTAATTAGATACGTCATCCTTTCAACCGAATTATTACCGAACAATTACGACTAATTCTCGATAGTAGGTATACGAGGTGGAGTGAAGAAAAATTCAAAGATATTTCAACCAATTTTCTCATCTATACGAGGTGTTTTCGAAATGAGTTCATATATTCAACAAATCCATAAAATTTAGGCTGAAGGATATTTCCATGATATTAGATTTTTGCTAATTCTCCTAATTAACGAGAAATTTTATCGTGAACATATTATAAAAATCGTCTTCCGCACGGAAATTTGATAGAGGTAACATCGGAATTGCTACAGTGTAGAACTTTGGGTGGAAAAAGAGTCTCACCTTGTATTTTATTTGATCCCTATGTTTTTTCTATGAGTGCCCTTCAATAGTATTCATCGAAATTATTTAAGGTATGAAATATTTGTATTTATTTCAATGTCACCTGTCACCTTGTATATTAGGCTGAGTTAGGTTAGATTTTTAATAATTTACGAATTTAATATTGTAAAGTTTCGAATCATCGGCTGGGGATAGTCCTGCATGATTCGCTCTTGCATTACAATCAACAGTGCTGCTCCTAAAGTGGCGCATGGAGTTAGTAACAAAGCCTACACAGGACACACACATAGAAAGAAGTGATGATGATGTAAATGTGAGCATCAGAGGAGAAGTAGGATGGTGTTAGGTGGGTGTGTAAAACTGCCAGCTGAGCGTGAGAGCATGACAAGGCTGCTTAGTGGAAGCAGAAGCTTTAACGCGGCTTAACGAGGTAGCTGCAGCATACGCTAGTGAGTACAATACTAGCGAACAAAACACAACCGAAAAACTCTGAAAGAGCTGATGGAAAGTACCTGAAAAGGTTGTTAGCCAGCTGGCTTAGGCGAATACATCACTAATTACACATATTGGGGCATGCCAAAAGGTCCCATGTGGCACTAGCTGCTGACGTTCAAACGTCCCCCACTTCTACCAGTACCAGTGCCAGTAGGTTAGATTTTTTAGAAAAAGTATACTCCTTTTTTACGAAGAAAGGATATTTTCCTTCTGTATATACGCGCGGTGATTTATTAAGAATGGAAAATCTCTGAACTACAGATGGTAAACACCAAAATATTAAGGTTCATAGAAATGTTGCAGATAGGTACAGGGTGTTCAAAGAGAGATTTCATTTTAATTTTTTTTCAGATTTGGTCGAACATTTACTTCGAAATTCTGTTTGTTTTTGCATGGCGTTGTTCGTGCTTGTCATCATTGCTCACTGTCTGTTTTTCCCGAGGATTTTCCACTTTCAGTTCGCTAACAATATAATTCGAAATCATCACTCATAATTACACGACATATTCTTTTTGTCGAAGTAAACTTGACATGTATCAATGAGAATTTTGTTGCCTGACAATCTGACGAAAAAAAAACAGGACGAGTAATTTTTTCTGGCAGTTTTTTCAGTTGAATTACCTAATGGCAACAAAATTCGAATCATAAATGCCAGGTTTACTTCGACTAAAAAAAACTACAGTGTAATTCGGTAAGACAATTTAATTGATCAAACATTTGTTTATGGCTGGTTGTCATGCTTTCAAAAGTTAGGTTCCGTTCACGATGTAGGGAAGATGGTGTTGAAACAGCTATGCTTTTCCCTATGTTTATTAATCAACCCTATGATCAACCAAACCGCTTTACGTACAGCACTCTTGATGGCACTGATTTTAATTCGTTTAACGGAAGAGTTCCTTTTTCCCCTGTAGAGGGCCATCGAAATCATGGAAATTGTTGTCATGTTGTCAAGATTGTGAATTTTGTGGTAATGTTTTATTGTTATGACACTTTGCCGTCTAACGCATGACAAATTCATCATTTCAAGATAAATATTTGTTGGACAAATAATATAATACGAAAATGGAAAACAGAAACACAACTGCTAGTAACTGTACATTTTATTTGATTTTTATCACACACTATCACCGGAATACCAGGAAATAATAGAAAAATCACTCGAAAAATATAAATCCACGAATGGCACGAATAGGTTATGAATTCAAATTAATCAAAAACAGCTGTTCTGCCGACGCATGGTTGGCAGAACCAAAAATAGCTGTTCTGCTGACGCAAGGTTGGCAGAACCATTCAAAACTCATGATAATTTGTATCATCATCAGTTCTATCAACCTTGGAGCTGGCGCCCCCTTCAGGGAAACTAGTGACTCTTACGTAAAGCGATTTGGTTGAAACAAAACACTAACTGTGATTACACCATCTTCCCTCCATCGTAGTTCTGTTATTGTCGCTGGAAAAGTTCGGGCAAACTTTTATCGCTGTCATAATGACAAAATCACGCTGGTTGTGGGATTTTTCATACATGAATCAAAAAGTCGAAGTAAACTTGGCATTTATAATTCAAATTTTGTTGCCATTAGGCAATTCAACTAAAAAAACTGCCTGAAAAAATATTTTCAGAGGCAGGTTTTTTCGTCAAATTGCCAGGCAACAAAATTCGCATTGATACATGTCAAGTTTACTTCGACAAAAAAGATCTCGTGTGATAAATGATGAACAGATGAATAATGTAGGTAGTAGGTAAAGATAATCATAATGTAATTCTTTATAAAATTATATAATAAAAAAATAAGTACACACGAAGTAATGCATCTGTCAACACTTCACTTCAACACTTCAACTGTTTTATCAGTCTATTATGGAATGACTAGGCTCTCTCCACTTTCTTGAACTCATGATGAATGTATAATCCACCTTGCTTGAACTGAAGAAAATCGTCATTTTGCCTCGATGATTTTCGGCAAACGTTCCTCGACATAAAACCGATGCGTCCCTCTTTTCCACCAGTTTCCTTCCTTAGGAATGATCGTTTTCACCACATATTTGTATTCTATAAAGGGTACGTGTTCTTGCCGTAGTTGTTGGGATGGGTGACCTAAAAAAGCACACATTTTGACATATTCAGCAGTTTCATCGGTGTGAAATTCACACCGCATCAACAGCAGAGTACAAGAAAGGTATTCTTCCATAATAGATCCACTGTTATACAGGGTGTTAAATCAATATGATACAATTTCGAAGAAATTGCAGGAAATTGAGGCAGTGTTGAATTTTTGAAAGAAATCTGTTCTTAATTAATTTAAATAAATGCTCTGATTTTATTATCTTGCAGTTATACAGATTATCTATGTGTAATATAACAAAAGACACTCCTGGTGTTAGAATTTGTTTGTTTCCTAGGTGACAACTTTTCAAGGTGTTTCCATTCATTTGGATTGGAGGTGTACTAGTTGGAGATTTACGGGGCGTTGAAGAGTGCATGAGGGTAAATGGAGGACACCCGAGGTGCTCCCGAAGTGCTCTCAAATAATCTGTATTTCATGAGTCTATCATTCTTCATACCAAAACACAGGGTCATTTATTTATTTTCCCCATTTTTCCAATTAATCATAACTTATGAACCACCCTATACATCTTTGTGATATTTGGTTCATATGTTCCTTGTTCACGGTGGCGACGATTGACATAATAAAAATAGTCCTATTCCCGGACCGGCCTTGAAAAAATAAATAAGTAGGTTTCGAGTCGAAGCAACATCCTGTACATCAAAATTTCAAAATTTCATCTACAAATATAGAAAGAGCAGGAAAAAATGAGTGAGACTGAATGTATCTGGTGTTTCCGCATGTAACTTTTACTTCTTAATTAACATTCGATCCGATGTCAAATCTGGATGTTTCGATAATGAGGTTGCACCAAATTTAAAATATAATAATTTGTGTACCCCAAATGCTACTTTTCCATTTTTCAATCAATAAAATCATCAACTATTTCTTATTCTCCTAATTTTTGGATCCCAACTCAATTGAAAAACGAGAGGATATGCCCGTATTTGGGACAAACAAATCAATGACTAACTTTAAATACCCTGTCACTTAATTTCGACACCATTGATGTTGGTCAGATATTTTGTGTCCAAGTGTTAAAATCATGATTAAAACACAGAATACTCAACAATTGTTGTTAATTCCGTTTTCTTGTACAACCATTCTATTCTATTCCACAGGTTATCAACAAAACGCACCTACTGTAGTTCGATTCGAAATGTCTATTCTGTGATTCTGTGATTCTTTCATACGATTCTGTCATTTCTGTCAAAAATATTTTGTGCCTCAGATTCAGATGTCAAATGCACGAATTATTGGAATTCGTTATTTTGTATGTGCGTTTTGAAGTTTTTGAAATTCGAATATCAATCCTACTGTTACTGAAGTTGAAGTAGATTCGTCTGATGAACAATGAAGTGCTCAGAGTGTCGAAATAAAAGGTCCAATTTGTGCCATTTTACTGTGTCTAGTATTCTATTATTGCTGTTGAGCTTTCGAGCTTGTCTGATGAAATGTTTGCGAGGTGAGTTGACTTTGGAATGTTTGCGTTATCTATTATTTCTCCCAGTTGATGATTTAGTATTCCTTTTTTTTATTTCGGTGATTCTCAAGTAATGTACCATTATACTTTCCATGCATACTGACTCATAATTCCGATTTTTATATTTCCTCGATCAAATCGTCACAGATTTACGAGTTGTCTTGAAATAAATCTAGAATATAATAGTCAGAAATTCATCCTTCCGTGAGCTTCTAGCTCTCGGTGAGTAGAATTTTGGACGGAAAAAGGGGTCTTGCCCCTAATCTTATTTTGAACACTTTATTTTTTTCAATGGTGCCATTATTTGATATAGGTCGAGACTATCAAAAGGATATCTGTAGATATTTCAACGCCAAAAGCGAAGAATTCTTTTTTCATTGACAAAATCAGTGGACTTCATGAGTAGCAGGTATCTTCTTTTGTCTACGTTACTATTTTCATTTTCAGAATGATAGATTTCTGATTTTTTAGACATTAACGGTGTGAAATAGGGGTGAAATGGATGCGACAAAATCAGTAAACTTAATGAATTTCTTCTTTCCTCTACGATACGTATTTTTTGACAAAAAAAATTCATAGCAAGACATTTTTTCTTTATGAAAATGACAGATTTCTGATTTTTTAGCCATTATCGGGGTGAAATAGGGGTGAAATGAATGCGACAAAATCAATAGACATTATGAATCTCTTCTTTTGTCTACGTTACGTGTTTATTGAGAAAAAAATCCATGGCAAGACATTTTTTTCTTCTCAAAATAACAGATTTCTTCACAGCAATGAAAAATAAAAATTATTTTTTTCCTGATTGAAATTCTGAACTTTCAATACTTAATGCCTATTCATTATCTCGAGTTATAGTTTGGCAATTTCCCTGATGAAAAATCACTCCTGCACTAATATAGATTAAATTTCTAATATTCCGCGTATTTATTCTCCCCGGCCTGCTTTTCGCGATCTTTTACGATAGTAGTCATTTAGCTTTGTTCGCGATTCTAATTTTTTGAACATATTATATACATACATCAAAATTTCTCATGATAAAAAGATAGGCATTCATATTATCGCATTTAGTTGAACCAAACCATCGACCAAACCGTTCTTGAATGATTTATTGATTTATATGTACAGGGTGGCCAACTAAGACTCCAGAGTTCGATTTCTCTGTTGTCTTGAGAGATACAAAAAAAATTCATGGATCAAAATTGAAGTAATAACCAAGCTTCACATTTCAAAATTTCTTTGAAATACACAGGGTGTTCCGTAAGGTCACAGCACATCAAAGCTATGTTTTTTTCATTGGAACACCCTATATTTTATTTCATTTTTGAATTCTCCCTGAAGATCTGATTTCAACGACCCATCATACTTAGGGTCTAGCAGTGAAAGTTACTGACATATGGGGTGTGCAAAATCGAGATTTTCCAAGTTCAGGATTTTTTTCTGTCGAAACTGTTCATTATTCGTCAAAACGGTTTACATGTCCCTATCTCAACTTTTCACTCACTATCAATTGGTGTTCAATTGAAATTGATACAAGGTGATCAAAAAATCTAAATTTATAATTTGTTTCAATTAAATGTCAATTGAACACCACTTGATAGTGAGTGAAAAGTTGAAATAGGGACATGTGAACTGTATTGACGAATAATGAACAGTTTCGACAGAAAAAAATCCTGAACTTGGAAAATCTCGATTTTGCACACCCTATATGTCAGTTACTTTCACTGCTAGACTCTGATACGTCGTTGAAATCAGATCTTCAGGAAGAATTCAAAAATGAAATGAAATATAGGGTGTTCCAATGAAAAAAACATAGCTTTGATGTGCTGTGACCTTACGGAACACCCTGTGTATTTCAAAGAAATTTTGAAATGTGAAGCTCGGTTATCACTTTAATTTGAATGCAAAACTTTGTTTTGTATCTCTCAAGACAACAGAGGTATCGAACTCTGAATTCTTAGTTGGCCACCCTGTACAATCCATCATATCACGTGCGATAACTCGTGTAATTTTATTTTTGCTTTTGATCCTGCTTCATAACATAAGATAAGATATAAAACTTTAAAAAACAATGATTCACAATGATTTATTTTATTATAAATATTAATTAGGTAATCCTGGCGTTCCCCTGAATTGAAAACTCTGAATCTATCGTTACGCCGAAATGTATATTTTCCGAGATATTTTCATATAATAAGTAGTCCTATTATTATTATCTATTATTATTATTAAGATTATTATATGACGAATAAACCTGCGAAGTTTCTTTTCAACACCTTGTGTCTCTATGAAACAAATCTCAAAAAAGTACGAACGTTTTCGTGAACTTTTTTTTCATTTTTCCGAGTTCTATCGGCTATCGAATTTTCACGATTTCAATGTAAAACACCCTGTATATCTAATATATTCAGAAGAAAGTAGGTATAGTTGTGCTGCCTGGGCTGTTATACAATTGCTTCCTATAAGATAAGCATTTGTATGATGCAAATGTATGGAATAAATTCATTTCAAAACAAGACGACTTTCGAAAAAAAAAAAAAACTAGAGTTTAGAACTTTTTTTTCGACGTATTTTTTAACTAGACGACCCTTCGATGTTCAATTCTCAGTAGCAGACCTCTGCAAGATTCAATTAATCACATGATAATCCATTTTAATTTCAATCTTCTTGTGCAACATTTTGACTGTTGAATAGACGATCGGTAGACCTTTCAATCAAGGTGTCACATGACCCCTATTTGTATTTGAAAAAATCGTCCATTACGTCTTTACTCCAACACCGGTGACGTAACATCTCCCATATGAATATCATGAGATGAGGCTTCAGAAATTAAAACTCACGTGTTTTTGGAATTTTTTCAAATGTCGCCCATTTCTGAAATAATGAATTTATTCCATACATTTGCATCATACTGTATATATTTCTATTAAAGAATATTATTGGTGATTAATGATATGTTTACAGGGTGTAACATAAGTTCCTACATTAAAATATACAAATGGTGTCCGGTAATGCTTCGTTTCGGAGATATAGTGTGTTGAAATTGATTTTGTTTTTTCGTTTATTTTTGAATTTCCTACTTTTCTTTTCGTATTAATTTTATGTAGCGCCTAACAATACCACAACGTTTTATTGAAATTGATGAGAAGACAATTGAGAAATGAATAGATACAATATTAAATATTAATACCCTGTATCTCGAAAACGAAGCAAGTTAAGACACATGTTTATATGAACTTTATTTCCTAAAATATCAAAAGGAATAACCCCTTGAATTTTTTCGGTGTTATTTAGATACGGATGAAATTTGTGAAAGAGAAAATCATAAATGACTCATAGAACATCCTGTATATACAGGGTGATCCACGGTGGAGGGCCTATTAGTAGTATCTGGAGAACGAAAAGACAGAACATTCTGAAAATCGGGATGCTTTGATAATTGAACAATCATTCTCTATCCGTCTTAAATATTTTCATCGATACAGTGTTGCCACTTCTATCAGAAACAACTAGCAACTTTGTTATTTCGAATGGAGCACCCTGTATTTTATCGCATTTTTAGATACTTCCTGAAGAGCTAATTTCCTCAATGCATCACACTTGAGGTCTAGCAGGAATGATTACAGAGACATAGGGTATTCAAAATCGAGATTTTTCAATTTTAGGATTTTTTTGTGTCGAAACTATTCATCATCGATCAAAACGGCTTACATGTCCCTATCTTAACTTTTGATTCACTATCTACTGGAATTTAATTGGAAAAAATACAGGGTGCTTCAAGATTTAGAATTCTGATCACCCTGTATCTGTTCCAATGAAATGTCAGTAGATAGTGAATCGAAATTTTGGGTAGGGTCATGTGAGCCCTTTTGATCGATGATGAATTGTTTCGACACAAAAAATCCTAAAATTGAAAAATCTCGATTTTGAAGACCCTTTATCTCTGTAATCATTCCTGCTAGACCCCAAGTGTGATGCATTGATGAAATCAGCTCTTCATGAAGAATCTAAAAGTGCAATAAAATACAGGGTGCGCCATTTGAAATAACGGAGTTGCTAGTTGTTTCTGATAGAAGTGGCAACACTGTATCGATGAAAATATTTTGGACGGATAGAAAATGTTCAATTATCAAAGCATCCCAATTTTCAGAATGTTCTATCTTTTCGTTCTCCAGATACTTCTAATAGGCCATCCACCGTGGATCACCCTGTATACGGATGAAATTTGTGAAAGAAAAATCATAAATGTGACATGGATTTATTTAGCCACTGGATGGTATTAGTTAATACCGTCCAGTTACTCCAGTTTCAGTGTGATACATTTCTTTTAGAAATAAAAAAAAACTTCTGTGACGAGAAAAAAGTTTGGCATTTCATCTCTGTTGACAGGTTATGAAATGTCACTTTTCATAAATTCCTCTTTTCCCGTGGTAAAAAAGTGAGTATTTTTTTCCCGGATATATTTCACATATACAGTGTCATTCATAAAGTCGGCATCTTATGGGAAAAACTTTTATTAATGACTTATTTTGGAATTCGAGTTGGACGTTAAGTTTTGCTTCGAAAAAGATGAAAAATGGCCTACTCAATCGGGGTCACGTGACTTTCGCTACATGTCAAAAGTGACATTTTTTTAAATTAATCGCTGAAAGTAGGCTTATTTGTTCGAATATCGAAAAAGTTTACTTGAAAAAGTTGTTTCTATTTCAATTTTACACATGCTTCTCGAATTTGATCTTTCTATTGCAACTTTTTGATTTTGATTTTTTTTTTAAATTTTCGAAATTTCTGTAATATTTGAAGAATTGTTAATTCCACGAAACTACTTCATACAAGTAGCTTTTTCATGCTACTTATACTTTCAATTACTCATTATCACTGATTATGGACAGAAATATGATTTTCTTCAGAAAATGATAATACCCGCTTCCAAATTCTGTTATGTTTGATGCAAAGTTGATACATCGTCAAGCTTTTAGAAACGAAATTCATTTAAACTGTCTTTTCAGTACTGAGAAAATAAACTTAAATGAATTTCGGGTCTAAATGCTTGACTCAAACATAACAAGATTTTGATGTTATGTTTGCATCAAACATAACAGAATTTTGAAGCGGAGATTATCATTTTCTGAAGAAAATCATATTTTTGTCGATAATTAGTGATAATTAGTAATTGAAAGTTAGTAGCATGATGAAACTACTGGTATGAAGTAGTTTTATCGAATTTACAATTTTTTTATTACAGAAATTTCGAAAATTTTCAAAAAATATCGGTAAAATTGAAATAGAAACAACTTTTTCGATATTCGAACAAATAAGCCTACTTTCAGCGATTAATTTGAAAAAATGACACTTTTGACATGTAGCGAAAGTCACGTGACCCCGATTGAGTACGCCATTTTTCATCTTTTTTGGAGCAAAACTCAACGTTCAACTCGAATTTTAAAATGAGTCATTAATAAGAGTTTTCCCCATATGATGCCGACTTTATGAATGACACTGTATATACACTGTTGATGGCTTTTGTTGTGCTATAGTTCCGAAAAATGAGTCAATAATACCGTTTCCGAGAAAGAACTGCAAGTCCTTTTGTCTTCCATTCGACTTCGCGGTTACGTATATTACTAAACAACCACTAAATTCGCAAATTTTTCGAAATCAAATCACAGAATCAGACTGATAGAAATGACATCAGATATTTGATTATTTCAATAGAATGATAAAGATGCCTACATCGCAGGTGTCCCACTATTAAAAACTTAAAATTTCACTCGAAATTTTACGTCGATTATTTTCAGATTTCAAAATGATGTAATATCTTCTCAATATTGATTCGTCCTTTCTTCTGTCACAGAAAAAATAGTGTATTATACACGGGAACAATATTAGATTTTAGCTCACGGTTTTTTGTTTGACAACACAACCTCTGGAGCTAAAATCTACAACTTTTTTCCCTTGTATAATAAATAACTATTGAACCATCCACAATTGGATAACTACATAAACGGTTTGATTGGAAATGACCTTCCCCTACCACACCGCTTCTTTTGATCCATGACTCATAGGACACCCTGTATATATGCGTATTTTTTGTGTGCATGGATTTTCCCGGAGAATTTCCCTATAAATAAAACGGACTCACCTTCGTTGGCATACGTGGGAAATCCCCGAGCCCCGCAACTGATCCACGCCAAAAAAATCACAATCACTTTCCACAACTGCATCGCTCTCGATAATATTTCGCTGATGGCTAAACAAACTGAAATGCGATCACCCCGATGTTTGAGGTCTAGCTAGGTGGAAGTCCGGACAAAGTCTACATAATGTTATATCAATAACACATGTTTAATTTCGATGAAATAAAGCGCTGGAGAAACCGATTTGGAGGAGGGAGATCGTTGATTGCGGGGAACTACTTCGACGGGGATGATATGAACTATTATGAACTGCTTTCAGATTGATCCGATTTCGAGCTATGAGAGTATTTTGTCTACACAAAAAATAATCGTCGAGAAATTGGAAATAAAAATAATTATTTTTCTGTGACGGGAAAAAAGTTTGGCATTTCATCTCTGTTGGCAGGTTATAAAATGTCACTTTTCATAAATTACTTTTTTCCCATGGGAAAAAAGTGAGTACTTCTTTCCCGGATATATATCACATATATATACTCTGTTAATGGCTTTTGTTGTGCTATAGTTCCGAAAAATGAGTCAATAATACCGTCTCCGAGAAAGAACTGCAAGTCCTTTTATCTTCCATTCGACTTCGCGGTTTCGTAATATATTACTAAACAACTACTGAATTCGCAATTTTTCAAAATCAAATCACAGAATTGAACTGACAGAAAGTGACATCAGATATTTGATTACTTCAAAAGAATGATAAAGATGTCTATAAAACGCAGGTGTCCCTACTGTTAAAAACTTGAAATTTCACGTCGATAATTTTCAGATTTCGAAATAATGTAATATCTTCTCAATATTGATTCGTCCTTTCTTCTGTCACAGAAAAAAATAGTGTATTATACACGGGAAAAATATTAGATTTTAGCTCACGGTTTTTTGTCTCCCTCCGCTACGCGTCGGGAGACAACACAACCTGGAGCTAAAATCTACTACTTTTTTCCCTTGTATAATAAATAATTATTTATTAGGTTTACAAGGGATATAAGTATGTAGTTAGTCTGTTAGTCTAATTATGTGATTCAATTTTAAAAAATTGCGAATTCGGTGGAGTCGAATGGAAGGTAAAAAGACTTGAAGTTCTTTTTCGGAGACGATGTTATTGGCTTATTTTTCGGAACTATAGAGCCATCAAAATTGTATATACAGGCAGGATTATTCTGAAAAGTTGGTGCCTTGGATAAATAGTTGTGTTCTATCGACCTAAAATATTCTCAGTGTTCCGACGTTGCCGCTTTTATTGAAAAGTAGCAACAACTTAGATTTTTTAAAATGAACACCCTGTATATTATTCCATTTTCAGATTTTCCCTGAAGAGCTGATTCTATTGACCTATAACACTTGGGGTCTAGCAGTAATAAATACTGAGTTATAGGATGTGAAAAATCGAGATTTTTCAACTTCAGGAATTTTTTGTGTCGAAATTATTCATAATTGGTCAGAACGGTTTATATGTCCCTATCCCAACATTTTATACATTATCAATTGATATTTAATCTAAATAAATACATGGTGGTTCAGAATTAATATTTTTGTCAACCCTGATGTATCTATTTGAATTAAATATCAATTGATAGTACTCATTTCAAACGGCCCCCCCTCTATATCTCAGCTATCAGTCGTGCGATCTTTACCAAATTTGTATCGGTATGAATAATCATCAATATGACCAGTTCTTCAAAGACAAACATCATTTTAGACAGTGCCGTGCATTTTTATTGAAATGAATAGGGGTCAGTTTCTCATTGAATTATACTAGGCATTTTTTCACAGGAAAACTGAATTAATTAATTAATTGGAAAAATACAGGCTGCTTGAAGATTCAGAATTCTGATCACCCTGTATATCTGTTCCAATTAAATGTCAGTATATAGTAAATCGAAAGTCAAGATAGGGACATGTAAGCCGTTTTGCTCGATAATGAACAGTTTCGACACAAAAAAATCCTGAAATTGAAAAATCTCGATTTTGAACACCCTATATCTCTGTAATCAATCCTGCTACACCCCAAGTGTGATACATCGGTGAAATCAGCTCTTCATGAAGAATCTAAAAATGCGATAAAATACAGGGTGCTCTATTTAAATCAACGAAAATGCTAGTTGTTTCGGATAGAGGTGGCAATACTGTATCGATGAAACTATTTTAGACGGATAGAGAATGATCAATTATCAGAGCATCTCAATTTTCAGAATGTTCTGTCTTTTCGTTCTCCCGATACTTCTAATAGGCAATCCAACGTGGATCACCCTGTATATGTGATATATATCCGGAAAAAAGTAATTCATGAATAGTGACATTTTATAACCTGTAACAGCCACACAGCACATTATTGTTTCAGAAATATTGCAGGAATATGGTCCGGACAGATTTGAAATATTTTTGTTTTATTGCAAAACGTTGATGAAATATTCCAGAAATATTGCTAAAATATCTAAATGTCCGCCCCAAAATCTAACATGAAATATTGCAGATATATTCGATAATATATCCGAACAATATTGCAGAAATAATATGCAATATTTAATCTATATTTGAGATACGATATGGAAATATTGTAAATTTTCATATACAGGGTTTCCCAAAACAACATATTATAAATTATACAGGGTGGATTAGAATTCATAATAGGCCGATGGAGGATATTTTTTTCAGATTGACTTGAATATTTTGGAATCCTTCAAAGGTATATATCTTTTTTTTTATAAATTAGCAATTTGTTGTAAATGACAACTTGTGGCGGGCGAAGTGCTGATTTGGCGAAAGACTGATGAGGACTGAGTGACACTGACCGTGTGCCTAAATCGCACAATGTAGTCAATTCTCATTGGCTGCAATTAGTCGGAGATGTATCATGTGCTCCATTGTGACCAATGAAATCTTCATTATATATCACATGACCGATTTGAACAATAAGGATTAGGAATACAATTTCCGTCAAAACCATAGATTCATAGTATTATATAAGTGGTATAATATAATATACTCAATATTATATGATTTCGATGGCCAAGACAATGATGTCAAAACTAGAGTCAAAATCATAAATTCATAACCATATAACTGAGTTCCATTGGTAAAACCAGTGCACACTCATTTATATTCTGTAATTCATCCTCGAATGATAATTTTATATATCTGGAAAATAATTCAGTATTCAATATTGCTGCAATATTTCTTAAAGATTGCATGATTTATCCAAGAAACAATCAATGATTCTAAGCGATATCTTGAAATTATAATGCACAACTTGTCGATGAACGTCGCAATCATATGACAATACAAATTAGTGTCATTGCAGCAATATATCGAAATATTAAAACTGCAATATACCAATACGATATTTCTGCAATATATCTGAAATATTGCGAATGTAACTGCAATATTGTAATATTGTGGCAATATTTGTTGAATATTTCGTGCTGTGTGAGAGATGAAATTTCCAACTGTATTCCTGTCAAAGAAAAAAAAGTTAATAAAAATTATATATAAAAAATAATTAAAAGATAATTATTACTGAATAGTAGGTATAGTTGTAACAATCGCAGAAGGCAGATTTTCGATAGCAATCATTTACCGACTACAAAAAAAACGTCCTTCGATCCAAATCTTCCATGATTTTTATTATGAAACTTCGTTCAAAGTTTTTTTAAGACCCTATTCAGAAATATTTATCAAAAATAAGAATCAACTTTAAACACGCTTCATTTGCTTGGAAAATTAAAGTATAAAATATAATATAAGATAGGAATTATGTCTTTCAAAGTTCCAATATCTCGAAGAACGTGAGGTTCTACTGAGGTCAAGTTGTGGTTTTCTGATAGGTGGTTATACATATTGTTGTAAACCCTCATATAATTTCAATATTATTTTGTTCGTAGAATTATTGTGGATTTTTTCTTATCATTCGTAGTTGCTTGAAATATAATATAATCAGATATTCTCAGTAGACACTTGAAACTATAATTCTTATCAATCACGTAGCATTGAAAGCTCACGAAACTTCACTTGATACCTTGTGAAATATCCATTTCAAAACTTACTTCGAGTATCTAAGTTCAGTCTCAGCAAAATCAACTTCAGCAGTTTATAATGGAAAGAAGTATAGAGTATACTAAATTGTGCCCTTATAAATTGTATTTTATCTTTCGTTTCTCACGACAGTAGATTATCAAAACTTTCGTCTATAAAATTATATGCCTTCAGGGAAGCCATGTTTTAGTCAGATAGAACGCAACTATTCATGAGTCAACATCACTAACTTATTTTTCATTGTACTGAGCACTCTGTGATTGTCTTGTGAAATTTACCATCGTCCTCGAAGTGAATAAACGTCTACTGGAAAAGCTACCCACTAGTTATTTTGGTTCACCACCTTTTCAAACCTTCTAAGTGATCACTGTGACCATTTACAGAACCTTTTCTTCCCATGTACTAAAAGGAAAGATTACAACAATATACATATGAACTTGTTTATCACCAGCGGGATCACCAGCTACAGTATATGATTCATGGTTTACCACTTACCTTGTATACGCTTCGTTGAAGTTTCATTTTCGGTTTTTCCAAATATCTTTCGAAATGATGACTTTGATTCAACGAAAATTGGTATTGAGAGATTTTTTGAGGAGTTGTATACAAAACTGATGTTATTATTACTCTTCAGGGGGCGCCACCTACACGTATTATACATTTTTGAACATTCCTACCTTTTTTGGTAGTATACATATACTTCTATCATATTTTTCAGTAGAAGAATCGATTTCTCTATCATATCTACGTAAAAATGCAACCATTTGTTACAAGTCGCTATAAGCAACCGTTTTCTTTAGATGATTGTACTTGAAAATTTCATTTCGATCATTTATTTGTTGGACCCAGTATATAACCATTGAAAATGAGATCAACATCGCAGTTGGTCCAATCATCGCCCGAACTTAAATGATACGTTGACGATCCGACGAGGTTGTAATCTTCGTGGGCCACGGTTAAAAAATCCGGAAAAATGCCCTCGAAAGCCTTGTATTAGTTGTATCAGCCACAAGGTTCTTGTAGAGGTAGGTAGTTCAGATTATATAGAGGAGCGCATGATAAGTACATGTTTTTTATGCCGGATATACACAGTGAAGGCTAACAATGCGCACTGTGAGG